CCATATGCAGTTGTAATATACTTCCAGTAGACTGAAAACCCCACACGCCCTTTCTCTCGCTCTTCTTCTTGGACAAGTTGTCCTTTAGACCCAACACTGTCATCAGTTTTACCATTTGGAATACTTTTAATTTCTTCTATTCCACTCACAACATCATCTTTGCTGATACTTACTTCTACAGAAACAGATACTGCCTCAGCTGTATCAAGTGCTAACAAAGCTTTCTCATGTGCATCTACAAGTTCCATCAAATCAGTTCCTTGACAAAGAATTTCATCATATTTTCCAGCTTGAGTAATCCTCCCATCTTTCATGACCTAACACATGAAGGTGCAGTCGGTACCCCATCTATTTTAGTTCATGATATCAAAAGCATAAAAATCAAGGGGAAAAAAAAATTACTCACCAAGATTAAATCCGCAGCAGACAAGAACTCAACTTGATGAGTGACATAAATAACAGTTTTCGATTTCAAGATGCCCAACAAAACTTCCTATCGTTCAAAGATTAAGAGAGATATGGTTAGGCAAAGCAAACATGCAGAGCAAAGAGTAAAATTTTTATTCCAAAAAAAAAAAAAAGGAAAGAAATTGAACCACTCATGATATGGTTGCAATAGTTTTAGATTGAATTACCTATGTACATAGCAGTTAAGTGTTATGCATAGATTAAGAACCAAGTGTAATGAGAGTGTAACTAAGAGCACCTGCAAGGATGTTACCTTAAAAAGGTGAGATCCAGTATGAGCATCCACAGCACTAAAAGGATCATCAAACAAATAGATATCAGCATCTTGGTAGAGAGCACGAGCAATCTGTATTCTCTGCTTCTGTCCTCCACTCAAATTGATTCCTCTCTCACCTATAACTGTCTGATCACCAAATGGGAGGATTTCAAGGTCTCTTTTGAGGGCACAAGCTTCAAGCACCATCTCATACCTTTGCTTGTCCATCCCCTTACCAAACAATATGTTCTCTTGAATGCTACCACTCTGTATCCAAGGTGATTGGGCAACATAAGCCTTCAAGCCACACAACTTTACAGTCCCAGTTATTTTGGGAATTTCACCCAAAATACAGGAAAGAAAACTTGACTTGCCAGAGCCAACAATACCAGAAACTGCAACCTTCATACCATGGTGCACTTTTAAATTTATTTCTTTCAGAGCAACATTTGTGCTAGATAAATCCCAGGAGAAATTCGCATCAATGATCTCAATTGCTATGTCAGAAGTACCACTTGGAAGCCTCTCTATAACATTAGAATTCAAGTCATCCAGACAAGAGAAGGATGCAATTCTATCAAGAGAAACCTTTGTCTGAATTAACACTGAAATCGTTTCAGGAAGGCTATTGATTGACCCTTGAAGAATACTGAATGTAGCAATTGCAGATAGGATCCTCCCGGACTCAAGAGGGATTCCCAGAAGCATACAAGTACCAAAGGTGGCCACAGACACAAAAATCGGTGCCATCCAAAATAGAAACCTGGTCACGGCAGAGGTGTAAACATACTTCTTTAACCATGCTGCCTCAACATTCCTGAGCTCAAAAATCCTTGACAGAAACTTCATTTCCCAGCCTTGAAGCTTGAGAATTCTTATATTCCTTAAGATCTCCGATGTTGCCTTCATCCTTTTATCTTTTGATTTCATCAACTTGTCTTGAAACTTCTCCTCCAACTTCCCAAAAGGAAAATTTGCTAACATAAGGAGTACGGTCACAATAAAAGCTGCAACTGATGCTATTCCAAGATTTCTATGCAGGATAAACAATGCCAAAGCAACTTCCAGAATGACCTTCCATGGATCATGAATGTTCCAACAAGAGTCAGCAACCCTTTCTGCATCAACAGCCATGAAATTGATGATTTCCCCACTAGTGTGGCTCTGTTTCGATTGGTATGAGAGGGTTAAACCCTTGTTGTAAATCATTGTTACCAGTACTGCTCTAATTCTGATTCCAATTCGCGCCAGCCTAAAAGAGAAGTGCGTTTGACATAGGCACTCTAGAAGTTTTGCAAAAAATAATGTTGTAACCAGAAGATACCCCTCATTTTTGAACTCCCGTTGCCCATTGAAGTATTGGACAAGAGTGTCAAGGAAATATGGGCCAACATATGAAGCAACTGTTTCCACAAGTGCCAAAAAAGCTGTCCAGAGAACATCTTTCCATACTAAAAGGAACAACACCTTTACCAGCTTAAGTGTGGTCACCCCACTCCCAGCACCACCAGCAGACTCAAGCAATTTTCTAAAATTTGGAAAACACGCAACTACACTATCAAGGCTATCAAGTTGAGGAACATCCTCAAAGTCTAAACTCTTCTTCCTATTGCCGAGCGCGATTAAAGGCCCCATCCATGAGAATGTAACACGGCTAAAACTACTGGCATTTGAGAAAGTGGTTACAGAGTCATCTTCTCCGGACTTCTTTGACTCTAGACTGGAACCTCCATCCAAAAGGGGTTCCTCTAGGAAGGTATCTTCGCTCCTATTTCTATTCAAAAAACCCACCAAACAGATAGGCAAACCGGTAATAACAGAGAAAATATCAGACACTAAATACTGACTTGGTAAGGAGGCCTGATTTTTGCTATGAAAGATGTCTATGACAAGACAATAACAAGAAGTCAACAGATAAAAGCACCAGCAGATGCTCACGAAAAATGGGAATTTCTGTTCACCAGAAGCAGAGAATTTAATTTGCACGTAAAGAGAAATTGCACCCCAAGCAAGTGTTTTAAGCCCTAAATCAGAAAGCATCACGAGTTCATCTAAGAACCAACCATTCCTAAACCCATGGAAATAGCTGAACAAACACAGAGCGGCATTAAACCCAGAAACAGCTAAACAACATAACAAAGTCTGCTTATGCCACAAAACCCCCCTGCGCGTAACCTTGGCTTTCAACTCCTTACCATAACCTCTCTCAGCCCTCTTAAACACCAAAATGGCAAACAACAAAAGTAACAAAACCAGGTGGAAGGAACCGGAAATCCCATGAGCAAAAATTGGCTCAAGCAGGAACATCAGGGAATATGAATAAGAGAACAGGGAAAGCATACCCCACCTCGCAGAAGCAAAAGTTGCGTGCTTTTGTGTTAAAATGGAACGTGGTGGAAGAGTGTTGGAAGTCCAAACAAAGGGTGAAAGCCAGGGCCTTTATCAACTCCCTTCCACCGTTCGGACCCTATAATCTGCCCCCTGATGAACGCTAGATAAAGAAA